CTTTTGACAGCCGAAAGTCCACATCTCAATTTGTCTCCTCCTTTGGTGTTTCCCTCTTTAGTCATCAGCCACCAGTGCAGTCATCCGTGGCAGCCCTTGGTGAGCAGGGCTGATTTTTAGGTTAATTCTCAGGTCCTAACACCATTCGAAGATATTCAGGTTGTCTGTGCTATCAGGATAGCTAATGGGTCTGCAGCTCCCTCTGTCTCCTTATTCACTCTTTTCATTCAGGTTCTTCTATTAGTTGGTGTTCAATCCGCTTCTGCATTCTTCCTTTCAAATCTTAGGGCTCCAGGATTATCTTCTGTATTTGTGTCAAATGGTTTCTTCTCGTCTTTGTTGAAGAGGGTCTGTGTAGCTTGTTTGCCCATTCCGCTATCTTACCATAAGTCCCTAGAAAATACATTCTTAAAAACTTTCAGTGTAATAAAATATTCTGCAGGGAAAAGGGAAAAATTCTATCACATTTTGTTTCATTTATGCAACAGCTATATCAGTTTTAAGAATGTGCATATTTTCTTAAATTATTGTATCCTAATATATTTTGTATTTTTTTTCAAATTACTTTTTTTTCATATTATTACATAGTCATTACTAATTGTAATGATAGTCACAATCTATCATGTGATGTTATTATCATTTTTATCATTTCAAGTAACATGACAATGAGTATCTTTGGACAGGTGGTCCTTTTCATGCTACTTCTGCTCCATAAGCCCTTGTCCTTCTCTTCGACCTTTGTGGGGTCATTTTATTCATGAACATTTTTAAACTAATTCATTTATTTGCTTCATTAGCTATCTAGTTAACAGTAGTCACTAGAGAGGAAAATAAATTTAAAGACTAGTGGGAAATTAAAGATCTGGAATAAGAGCGCTGTGACTTGGTTACATTTTTGTACATAGAAGTATACAGTGAAATGAGATTTTCCTTAACTAGTATTGTCTAGTTAGAAGCAAATTTTATAATGATATATGGAGACTTGGTAAGAAAGCAGATATATTAAGCTACTTATGTTAATTTTGATTTCCTACCTTCCTGCCCTTAATTTTAGCCCTGCTTAGTTCTACTGTTCACACGTACATGTATATGCTGTTAGATGAAGTAGAAGGAGACGAGAAAGCAGCTTATCCTTCTCGCAGGGTGTGATGTGTAAGAAATGCAGATTATGCATTTAATGAAAAAGTTCATCTAAAAAGTACAGTTTGAGTCCCTATCCTATCTTAGGTTTTCAGAATAGATACTTCACAGTGGCTAATAGCCTTGACACTGTGTATGCTTTCTTGGAAAGGAAATACGTCATTTTAGTAATGAGTAAAGTTGTATTCAGACCAATAATTTATGAATTAAGAAGAATAGTGCTAAAAGTTTTCCTGCAGTCATGTGTGTTCATGATGTCAGTTTAGCATTGTCTCATGAAAAATTTTTTTCACTTCTTTTTTTATATATATTTATGTACTGTTTTCAACAAAGGTTTTTCGAATAAACCCTATTTGAATACTTCTGGTAAGATTAACATAAATTCAAATTAGGAGTTTGTTGTTATGAATAATCTTGAATATAATTATACTTTGTACATAGCAAAGTTGAGTCTTAAAATTATCAAATACTTATAAAAACCATTAAAAAAAAAACCAAAAAAAAACCTCACTATCTTCGAGTTGATTTGACCCATAGTGACCCTTCCTTGGGTTTCTGAGGCGGTATCTCTATGGATGTGGATTGCCCAGTCTTGCTTCCGAGGAGTGGCTAGTGGGTTTGAACCTCCAGCCTTTTGGTTAGCAGTCAAATGCCTTAGGCACTACACCACAGATTTTCAGATAATGTGAAATGAATTTAGTTGAAAAACAGCTTTACATTTAACATGGAAAAAACTATAGTCTGAAGATGCTTTTTATAATTTATTTTGTCAACCAGTTTTAATAAATGCCTATGAATTGACTAGTTTGTTCTCAGCAATGGTATGAACCGTAAGGCTTTGTATTGCACTTAGAATAAAATTCAGAATTCTTACCTTGATTTTTTTTTTTTTTTTTGATTTAATAGAATGAATTAGAATGTAAGCTCCTTTAGATGAGGACCATGTCTGTTCTCCCAATATCTGATAAGCACCTAGAGCAGTATCTCACAAAGAGATGCCATGCATAATATTAAATGAATAAAAAGGAATTAAATATCTAGAGTTTCATATTGTGGTACTAAAAAATTAAGACACTGTTAAAGAGAACCTCTTGATTTGCATTTTTAAATTGTTTGTAGAAAAATCATCACTTTAATAACATTTTGTGAATGTTTTTATTGGAAACACCAAGGCTTCTCAGTGCTCATACTTTTCAATTCCAACATTATTCTTGTGTTGTATTTTTATTTATCCCTTGTCTATGCATGTGCAATATATGATTATATAGTATGATCAAATTACAAAAACCTAACTGCAAAGATTTGGCTTTGACATTCCTTTTAAGAGCATTCATCAGAATGACTGAATGGAACTTGGCTGGCTTAATGATAATAGATGCTAAAAGAAGGTACCTATATCTAATTTCTAACAGTTTGTGTATCTGATGACAACTGCTGTTTTCGTAGATGACATTGGTTACAGGTAATTCCCAACTTAGTGATGTATTCAGGTTATGACAAACTGCATGTACAACTATCTGGTTATTATTTTGTACATCTTATTGTTAGTAATGGGAGCTCTGGTGGCATAGTGCCTAAGGCATTTGACTGCTAACAGAAAGCTGGTGGTTCAAACCCACCAGCCACACCTCGGAAGGAAGGTTGGGCAATCTACTTCTGTAGTGATTCCTCCTCTAGAAACCCAAGGAGGGGTGGCTATGGGTCAGATCCGACTTGATGGCAGTGAGTTTTTTAGTTTATTGTTAGTAATACGTACTACATACATTGTTACAATGGTGTAATTTGCTAATGTTATCATTCTCAGATGTTCACTGACAGATGTTCAGTGTTACAATTTACTCTTCAGAACACTGCCATGTAACAGGCAATAATGAAAACTTAAAAAGAAAAAAAAAGTGTTATGTCAAAATTGATTTATGGTGGAACAGAACACCTTTGGGGACTACTTATTTTCAGGCTGAATTTTGGTAACGTACCTTTGTTTCAGTTATAGACACTGAATATTTTTTTTATAAGTTTGACACATTAACTTTTTCAGGAAGCTCATAAGATGGTGAGAGAAGCAAATGTCAAGCAGGCAACAGCAGAAAAACAGCTAAAGGAAGCACAAGGAAAGGTAAGTTTTTGCTGCTTTTAATGGTATAAAATTTAAAGAAATTAGGGATTATTGTTTTAAAGATATATATATATATATGTAAATTAGGGATTATTGTTTTAAAGATACATATATATATATATGTACTTTATTTTTATTATAAAAGTAGTGGTTATTTTAGAGGAGTTGGAAAGTACAGGAAACTGTAAAGTAAAAAACAGTACTGTTGTTAGGTGTGGCTGAGTCATCTCTGACTCGTAGCGACCCTATGTACAACAGAATGGAACACTACCTGGTCCTGCGCTATCCTCGCGGTTCTTGATATGCTTAAGCCCATCGTTGCAGCCATCGTGTCAATCTAGTACTAGTTAATATATACCAATTGTATATGAGTATTAAAATAAGTACGAGCTATATGTGATTAATAATGCACATTTTGGTATCCATTTATCTTAGAACCAAATTATTTTTAAAGGCTTATCAATCATGTGTTAAATGGATTATATAATTACATTTTAAAGTTAATAATTTTTATTTTCTTGATTTCTTAAGCCACATAAATTTTATTATATTAGGAATGAACTGCAACTAATTATAAGCTGTCATATTTTATGGAGCCTTGGTGGTATAGTTTAAAGCATTGGGCTGGTAACTAAAAGGTCAGCAGTTTGAATCCACCAGCTGCTCTGCAGAAGAAAGATGAGGCAATCTCCTTCTGTAAATATTTACAGCCTTGAAACCTATGGGGCAGTTCTGCTTTGCTCTGTAGGGTTGGAATGAGTCAGAATTGACTTGATAGCAGTGGGTTTGGTTTTGGTTTATTATGTTTTGAAGCTTTTGAATATATATATAAATGTTAAACATTTTGATCATTTAAAAAATTTCATTTGACATTGTATATAGTTCCTGAATCCAACCCTTATGAAAACATGAAATTTTTAAAATTTTACTTTCCTTTTATTACCCTACTGGAAATACAAGTTAAATTTATTTTCTGTCTTCTATAGGAAAATGGTTCTACCATATTGCTAACAGTAAGTTGTATCTGTCATAAAACATACTTAGTGTAGGTGACTATGTTGATTTTTTTTTTTCCCCAAGATTGATGTACTTCAAGCTGAAGTAGCTGCTTTGAAGACACTTGTATTGTCCAGTTCTCCAACATCACCTACACAAGAGCCTCTGCCAGGTGGAAAGACACCTTTTAAAAAGGGGCACACAAGAAATAAAAGCACAAGCAGTGCTATGAGTGGCAGTCATCAGGACCTCAGTGTGATACAGCCAATTGTAAAAGACTGCAAAGAGGTAACTCGTCAAGGACTCTCCCCTCTGACTTAGTAATTTTCACCACTAGATGTCAGTTACGATTTTTGCCAGCCATTTTTTTTTTAGTACAAAATATGCAATATTAAGGTGGGGGAGGCTTTCTCTAGAGGTGGCTGCTTTCAGGGATTCTTCAGTTCCATTCTCTACTTGGCTGACCTTGGAGTACCTGCTGGAAACTGGGTAAGTTTTTTAATCTTGGTATTTCATTCAGGGAGCAAACTGTCACATGTTGTATGAAGGTAGTTTAATTATCTGTATAGTCAAAATTTATTAGTGTGTGCTAACAAAATTTGAATATGATGTGACTATCAGAAATTCATGAAAAAACATGATTTTCATGAAAAATTATGCATTGCTTTCCCTTAAACTCTGGGAGAAGTAGAATTTTACATCACTAGGTTAGGACCTTTGTTGGTGTATTGCCTAAGGCATTTGACTGCTAACCAGAAGGTTGGTAGTTCAAACCCACTAGCCACTTCATGGAAGGACGACTGGGCAATCTGTTTCTGTAAAGATTTACTGCCTCGGAAACACAAAGAGGGTCGCTATGAGTCAGAATTGACTTGATGGCAGTGAGTTTGGTTTTTTTCTTTTTTTTTTTTAGGTTATCTTAGGTTAGTTCAGATAATTAAGAAACAAAAAATAGAAATTTTGGTAGTGTTATTATTTAAAAAAATATAAAGATAACCAAGATAATGTGTAAGTATTTTGAGTTGTTGTGAATAAAAATTTTAGTTATTTTTTATTTTTAACTTTATCAGTGTATAAGATGATAAACATGATAACCAAAAAAACCTAACTCACTGCCATCAAGTCAGATCCAACTCATAGCAACGCCTCCTTGGGTTTCCAAGGCAGTAGCACTATGGAAGTAGATTTCCCAGCCTTCCTCCCGAGGAGTGGCTGGTGGGTTTTTGAACCACCAGCCGTCTGGTTAGTGGTCAAATGCCTTAGGCACTACACCATCAAAGCTCCTGATAAACACTATGAGAAAATATAATTTTAATAGAATCATTTCCAAGGAGATGGGTCAGTAATCAGAGGAGTGCTCACTTCTCTGTTGTTTTTTTTTAAAGCTGTATTATGTATTGTTGAATTCAAGTCTCTGGTACTCTCGTTAATTTTGTTTGGTTAAATTTTTGCATGGAAAGCAAGGGTTTATTAAATTGCATAACCAGGCTGTTATCTGCTGTAATTGAATTGTATTTTGTTTAGTTACTAGTAAAATGATGCCAATGACAGAGATGTTCAAATCTGAATTTGACAAATTCTAAAATTCAGAGTGATATTTGTTAAATATCTAAAACATTTTTAGCTATAGTTTTAGTTCTGATTTCTTTGGATTTAAATAATATTTTTAATTGCATGATATAACCTGTAGTTTTATTAGGTTTCTTAGTACATTAATTATATACCTTTTCCCCTATTATTTATAATAAAAACATTTAAATATGTTTTCTCATGAAACATTTTTAGTTTACGAAATCTCTTAAAACATGAATAGGCAGCATAGAACTTCAAAATAATAATAATAATAAAAATAATAATAACTTCAAAATAATAACTGCTTCCTAGGCATAGCATATATTCTGGTATTGAAAGAAAAATTTATCAAACGTCTTAGTTGACAGAGGAAATACATTGAATGTGTGAGTTTTAAAAAAGACAATGAATATGAAACATATCCATGTCTTTAGAAAATATAATTGGGATACTCAGTTATGGCATTAGGGACATATTTATTGTAAGCATTACACACATATGCATACCACCCACTGTGTAAGGCTTGGGATCAGTTCACTTAGATTTGAATTTGGACTCGTACAGCTGCTTTCTTGCTGTGTAACATTGGGGCAAGTTACTTTCTTTCTCTAAGTCTCACTTTCCTTATCTGTAAAATGAGATCATATTATCTGTCTTGTGGAGCTGTGAGAATTAAATGTTTATGAATTGCTTTAGCATAATTCCTGATATAGTCAGCTCTTAGTACATGGTTTAAATTACTGCTTTTAAACTAGAATCTTTCCTTATAACATTACTTACCTGCCTTGGGGTTTGTATCCATTATAGGATAAGCTTTACAAAGAAAATAAATTTATGTGAGTATTGTTTCTCCGTATAATATTCTTTACCCTTTTGTCTTTTGCTTTGATTCAAGGAATTTATGGATTGGGATGAAAAATAATTACATTATTCTTAATGTAATCACATACCTAAAAAACAAAAAGTTAGGAAACACTCAGCCTTTTGTTACTGTCATGTAGACTACCTGCACATCTCCTTAAGCTGTCCCACAGGTCATAGCTGTAGTCAGTACTATGTGTAGTTTGTAGCTACAGGAGCAGGAGGGAGGATACTCACTGTTTAGGTGGCTGGGGGCAGGTGTGGCTTTGTATTTCAGCAGTTTGAACTGGGATGAGGGAATCTGAGGATCTAGAGGGAAGAATACTTGGGGAAAAATTATTGTAAGGAAGGGAAAAAGAGACAACTGAAGGAGTGACTACGAAGGTGGGTGGCAGCAATAGATTAGTAATTCATATGGTAGGTACTGTATGTTGATGTGTCAAGAAATAACTGTTAAGTTTTAAGATAATCAATTTAGGAGGATGTATGTGTGCTTCTTTTAGTCTTGCTGCTTATACAATAAACATTTTGGAAATTCTTTTGGAAATGCCTTCAGAAAATAATAGAACCATTAGTGTCATTTTGACCCCAAACAAAAATTTTAGAATTTAGTCACAGCTTATTTATGCACTTATTTTTATTAACTTGACTCCAGAATTATTATTATTGGCTCCAAATTATATTTTGATTATTTCAAGAAAAGACTTAATCATTTTTAGTGTTCAGAATAATATGCATCTGTGTCTTAAGAGGTCCAGCATTTTTTTGGGAGAAAGGAAAGAGTAATGGTAAACAGCATTGGACACCTATAATGGATATGTTGAAAAGGGAACAGTTAGTCTTTTGGGAATATAAGTTTGGATTATTTTAAAGTAAGAATTATTCCCATGTGTTATAACTAATCAATAACTGTCCACATATTCATTATTTATTTTAAATGAAGATCATTTGTTTTTCAGTGATGTTCAAACGAGGTTTTGGTTTTGCAAAGTGATTTTAGGCTTTGTACTTCAAAAAAAAATCATGTGTGTTTTCCTTTGGTTTGTTTGTTAGGCTGACTTGTCTATGTATAATGAATTCAGATCTTGGAAGGATGAGCCCACAATGGACAGAACGTGCCCTTTCTTAGACAAAATCTATCAAGAAGATATCTTTCCGTGCTTAACATTCTCAAAAAGTGAGGTAATACATATATATTTCACTTTAGTGGGAATACTTTAGAATTGTTTCTTTACTTTCACTAAATCATATTATATATTTTAAAATCTCTTATCTAAATAAACTATTATAATATGCCATGTTTTATCACTTTTCCATATTAAGATAATTCCTTTGCATTCAGGTACTGAAAATCTTTATTACTTGAACAGAGAATCATTTACACTGAGATGTATACTGTGTGGAATGAAGTGTTAAAATGTGTATTGGGGATAGTCCTCATTTGTTGACTCTCAATCCAGAGTTCAGTGTAAAGGAAGTTCCATCCATGCTTCTCTTTCTGTTAAAGGCATTTGTTAAGTTTATCTGTTAGTGGGAAAAAAACAAAGGATCATATTTAATTTCATCTTTTAAAGAAGGGCAAACAGTGCCTTTTCTTGCCTATGTCACAAATTATTAGCAGGATAAAATGTTGATAAAATAGCTTTTAAGAAATTTAAGGTAGGTTTAATTCTAATAGTGTTATATTTACTCTTTTGAAGACTTAATTGTAACATTGCTTGTAAGAAGTTGAGATGATGAACAGTGTAATGTTTTAGATATGTAGGTATGTTATTCATTTTGGCTCTATGCCTGGTTTCAGGCAGGCCAATCAGTATTAGTAATCTTGCCAGTTTGTAAAGATGTTATATCTATTTCATGTATTGTTTATCATTTATCAGTTGCTACCATCTCCATCTGAGCATTTAATATTTAGTAATTCAGTGAAGTCTTTTGTAGATTCATTCTTGTGCATAAAAACACAAATTCAGAAAATATATAGGTGGAAATAGTATATACTGTTGTGTTCTAAATGACTGATATACTATGGAGTATTACATAAATTTAGCAAAATAGAAGCATTAGGATATTCATTTTGAAGTGTTACTAACAGTGGATATTAATTGTGGGTAAAGAGTGGACAGAGACTGGAACTGATGCATTTAATCCTATGCCAGATGATAAGAGTTGGTTAGCTATAATTGAATTGCCTTTAATAACAGTTTGAATTTACCAAGATTATGTAGTTTCTTTCCTTTTCATTGGCTGAGGCCAAACTGGTGGAACTTGGAGGAAGATTAATTTTTAAAAATTAGTTTACAGTGGAATACAATTTTGATACTTTCCTGCCAGCATAGCACCTAATACTTCTTATTTTTTAAAGTTGGCTTCAGCTGTTCTGGAGGCTGTGGAGAACAATACCCTAAGCATTGAACCGGTGGGACTGCAGCCCATTCGATTTGTGAAAGCGTCTGCAGTGGAATGTGGAGGACCAAAGTATGTTTTAAAATTCATGACTTGTGAAAGATAATGAATTTTAAAAATTTTGTCATGTTTTGCATTTGTCGTTTAGTTTTCCTAGTTTTAAATAAATTTCTCAGCAATTTTCTGTTTACAGAGTCTGTGCTGCCAAAAGACAAATCCCTAGTGGAGGATATAACAGTTCAGACTTAACATCAAGAGAGCTCTTTTAATTATGAAAATGTATGCTATGGATCCAGGTAGACCATCCATTAGACACTTCCTTTTTAACCACATGCCGTGATGTGTTGGTGGTTAAATGACTCAGTTTAGTGGGTCATTAACAGAATTTTGCTTGTTAAACATACATGTATAGCTGTGGTATTGAGTTTCTCTATAAAATATTTCTTCCTGCACTTTGCCATCAAAAGCAGTTTGGGAAGACAATGAGTTAGACTAAATTTTTAACAGGTATGAAAACAGAATGGCAAAAGGACTTGATTAGTCATCTCCTTTCTTAACTCTCATTATAAAAGATTCTCACTTTAGTAAATATTCCGTCTGTCTTCCTTGTGTTAGAGCTATTTGGCAAAGATAAATCTTCAGAGGTGAAACTCCCACCTTTCATAGCTGGGCAGGCTTATTTTTATCCAGGCTAGGAAGAGGGTGGACTGAAACCAACAGTGGCTAAAACCATCTGAAATCAACTGTGCCTAGAATCTTTGGCATCTGAAGGTTTTGTCTAAAACCAAGGCATGACTTTAAATAATAACTCAGCTTCTTAGGAAGCTGCTTAAGTGGTTAGAACTTGATCAGTATAGAGGAATGGAAAGGCAAGAGAGCTCATAGAGAGCAAGATTTTACTCCTGGCACAGTCATTTTGAAGCTAGGGTAGGTTGAGATTAACCGATAGGTCTGTGTTAAATAGCCTGTTGGGGGAATCTTACGGTTTCCCCTTGCCCTGTTAACGCTCATTACACTCACGGAAAGATCGCAGGATACTGGTATTTGGGCAGCTATTTGTGATGTACGTAGTCATGTATTTGTACTGTGAGCCACACGTGTAGCTGGAGTTGTATCCAGTTTTACATTCACCTGTAGCCACCTGGGTAGCACTGTGGCCTCTGAATTTTGAGGAAGGGATTTACGTTCCTAAATTCTACTCCTACAGACATCCAAGTATTTTTATCCTTATCCTTCACCCCAATAAAGGAGGTTCTATATTTAATGATAGCAGCTTTTGTACTTTTAAGGTCTATTTAATACCTTATTTTAAATGTAGCATATCACAGTTTTTATTGTAGAATTTAAAATTTGTTTAATGTAGTTTGGGTGAAAGTTTACAGAATAAATTAGTTTCCCATTCAATAATTTATATATATTTTTTTTGTTGGTTTGTTTCATGGCATTAGTTACTGACCTCTAAATGTAACAATATCCCTTCCTGTCTTCTAAGCTTTGTTTTTGGGCAAATGCCGCTCTTTCGGTCCTGTATGGTTGATTGTTCTGAGGGTTACATTCCTCATAGGTATTACTGTTCAGTGTATACCTCTGTCTGTTGTTTGGCTGAAAAGTGATCCCTGGGGGCAGAACTTTAAATTTGTGATTGCATTATACATCACACATATTGTTCACTTAAAAATAACTACCAATTGATGACCAGTGGGAATGTGAGCTAAAATGAATTTATAGTATTTTAGTAAAATAATTACGTAGATTTGACTTAGGGAACATTTTAAATAATTTAAGGATATTGTGCTTATGGGAATGGGGCCAGAAGCCCAAGTGTTTTGGAATACATACTGTAGAAGAAACTGGAGATGTCTTGTATGTCTCTGGCCAAGGCTCTTGTAGACTAGGTTATGAAGATAACTGCTAAGTGAATGGCACAGTGCTGTACAAATTTTGAGGAAGACAAGATCAATCTCAAGTAGAATGACCAAGGACTCTTCTTTTTGGGAGGGAGATTTGATCTGGGTTCTTAAGCATGGGTGGGATTTGGACAGATAAAGAATAATCTGTGTACACAGTAGAGAAGAGTGCATTCTGGACAGGAAGAGTAGTGTGTATGACTGAAGGCCTAAAAACAAAACAGTGAGTTTAGAGGACTGCAGTGAGTTCAGAGGACTGTGAGGAAAGGAGAGATGTGACGAACCTTAAGAAAGAAAAAACAGCAGATGATGAGATTGAGATAGAAGAATAGGTAAAAGAGAAAGGAGTTCAGAATTCACTAATTGACAATTAATAGAAAGGGATCTGGTTTTGGATTTAGGCATGTTGACATCCCCAGTGAAAATGTTAAGCAAGAATTTGAAATCTTGAGACTAGAGAGCTGAAAAAGAGATATTGAGGAAGTGTAAACATGTTAAGAGAATATTGGAAGGTGAATGGGACTATGTGTGTGTGTGTGTGTGTGTGCTTGACAGAGAATATCTCAACTTACATATTTATATATTCTGCAAATATATCCATGAATAATGTAGTAGAGCATACAGGGGAAAAGTTATAAAAACTTCTTAATCATAACCAAATTCCTTGAGAGAATGAGTCACTGGGTGTGGTGGCTTAGGACCATAGTCTTGGGAGACACTAAGATCAGTTGGTGTAACATAGCCCACAAAGACAGTGTTTTACATCCTACTTTGGTGAGTAGTAGTTGGGTCTTAAAGGAGCTCTGGGGGCGTAATAAATAAAACATGTGACTGCTAACCAGAAGGTTAGTGGTTCAAACCCACCAGCTGCTCAGTTGAAGGAAGATGGGAAAAGCTGGGGACGACAGAGCCGCAGGATCCAGGTAGGGGAAGGGAGACAGGCCCCACACCAAGAGGCAAGAAGTGGGGGGAAAAGCCAGGGATGACAGAGCCATGGGATCCAGGTAAGGGGAGGGAGAAGAGGCCCCACACCTAGAGGCAGGAAGCACAGGGGAAAAGCCAGGGATAGCAGAGCCATGGGATCCAGGTAAGGGGAGGGAGACAAGGCCCCACACCAAGAGACAGGAAGTGGGGGAAAAACTGGGATGACAGAGCTGTGGGATCCAGGATAGGAGAGAGGAGAGAGGTTTTGAACAGCTGAGGGGGATAAACTTGTCTGTCAGTTTGTTGTACTGTGGTGGCTTGCTGTGAGGCTTGAAGTTGTGCCACAAGTGCTTTAAACGCCAGTAGGATTGCACATGGTGCACAGGTTTCAGTGCAGCTTATAGATTGAGACCGACTAGGAAGAGGAGGGGGCCATCCACTTCTCAAAGAATTGGCCAGGGAAAACCTTATGAATAGCAGAGAAACACTGTCTGATAAATTAGTGGGCAACTTTATGAATAGCCCTGAAATACTGTCCAATACAGTGCAGGATCTCGAGCTCCTTTGGTTGGAAGGCACTCACAATACAACTGGGAAACAGCTGCATCATCAGAGTAGAACCAACCTTAATGATATGGATAAAGTAAGGCTTTCGAGACCCCCATTTGCTGATGTGGCATGACTTAGACTAAGGAGAAACAGCTACAAACATCTATTAATAATTGGAACATGGAATGTACAAAGCATGAATCTAGGAAAATTGGAAGTTGTCAAAAATGAAATGGAATGCATGAAGATTGATATCCTGGGCATTAGTGAGCTGAAATGGACTGGTTTTGGCCATTTTGAATCACACAGTCATATGATTACTATGCCAGCAAAGACAATTTGAAGAGGAATGGCGTGGCATTCATCATCACAAAGGACATTTCGAGATCTGTCCTGAAGTACAGTGCTGTCAGTGCTAGAATAATATCCATTCGCCTACAAGGAAGACCCATTAATACTCTGATTATTCAAATTTACGCACCAACCACCAAAGCCAAAGATGAGAAAATTGAAGATTTTTATCAACTCCTACAGTCTGAAATTGACCGAATGTGCAGTTAAGATGTGTTAATTATCACTGGTGACTGGAATGCAAAAATTGGAAACAAAGAAGAATTACCAGCAGCTGGAAAATTTGGCCTTGGTGACAGAAGTAACACTGGAGATCGCATGATAGAATTTTGCAAGACAAATGACTTATTCATTGCAAATACCATTTTTTTCAACAACACAAACGGCAGCTATATATGTGGACTTCGCCAGATAGAGTACACAGGAATCACATCAACTACATGTATGGCAAGGGGCAATGGAAAAGCTCAGTATCTTTAGCCAAAACAAGGCCAGGAGCTGATTTGGAACAGACCATCAGCAGGTCATATGCAAGTTCAGCTTGAAGTTGAAGACAATTAAAACAAGTCCATGAGAGCCAAAATATGACCTTGAATATATCCCTCCTGAATTTACAGACCATCTAAAGAATAGATTTGATGCATTGAACACCAGCGACTGAAAATCAGAGGAACTGTGGGATGACATCAAGAACATCATCCATGAAAAAGCAAAATGCCATTAAAAAGACAAGAAAGGAAGAAAAGACCAAAATGGATGTCAGAAGACTCTCTGAAAATTGCCCTTGAGTGGAGAGTAGCTAAAGCAAATTGAAGACATGACAAGATAAAAGAGCTGAACAGAAGATTTCAAAGAGCAGCTCAAGCAGACAAAGCCAGTTACTATAATGAAATGTGCAAAGACCTGGATTTAGAAAACCAAAAGAGAAGAACATGCTCAGCATTTCTCAAGCTGAAAGAACTGAGGAAAAAATTCAGGCTTTCAGTTGCAATATTGAAAGATTGAAAATATTGAATGATGCAGGAAGCATCAAGAGAAGATGGAAGGAAGGAGTTCCGGTAAGATGGTGGAATAGGCAGAAAGACGGCACACACTCTCTTCAACAAAGAAAAGTGGAACCAATTAATAGCGATACGGAAGATCATCCTGGAAGGATATAGAAGTGGACTAAACTCCAACTAGCAGAAGAATTTGCATGAAAATACCAAAAAAGGAGACTTACGGAGCTGTGGTCTGGCAGCGATCCTGATGGTACAAACAGCTTGGATATTGCCGAGTGGTGGTAGGACCTAACAATTAACCTAAAAATCAGTGTTCCTAGCCAGGGACTGCATGGAGGAC